CATTTTACAATCAGGGGGCCCCACATTTAAAACCCTGCAAGCAATGTTTATGATTTTGCATTCTTTCCAGACAAAATCTCCTCCATCCTACAGAGGTGATTTGCTCTATGTTCTGGTGTGTCACACCCTTCTCAGTGCCCAACCCTTACAAATGTCCAAAAACTGTTTAGGGGTCTGCCATTTAACTTATTGCCCACTTAAGTGAGTTTGAGACAAAGTTATTTCATATCATATGCTGAAGGTGATAGCTTACAGAAAACCATGAAAATTTATTAGGATTTTAATGGACAAAGACATCACGTTTTAAAAGTGTTCTACTCCCAGTCCACTTCACTTAGGCCTTTTGACTAGTGTAGAGTGCAAGACAATTATGTTTTGTAGAAAATGTGAATTTTTTAAACAGCTTTGGGTGATGTAAAAGTATAGATTGAAACAAAGTCCTGAGTGAAATGGATGATGGAATTCTTGATGTGATTTCCCAAGAACTCTGGGAAACGGATTCATTTTCTAATTCTGCAGCACCTAATTCAGAAATGTTTTCATAGCAAACACTGGAGAATGCAGAGTCTGAAAGCAGTGGTTTAGGACTTTGTCATGGTCTGAGTTTACTGTGGACTATAGTCTATAATCACCTTGTGAACTTGCTGAGATTGATGAGGTATGTCTGCTACTGGCTGAGGTAGCTGGCAACACATACATACTGGAATGGTCGAGCCTTATATTCTAATGTACAGTATGAGGGGAGTGAATGATGTTTCCAGAGGTTCTAATATAAACATGCTCATTCCTATATTCTCATGAACAGCCCTGTGTTCAATGGTGAGATTTAGGTCCAGGGAACTTGCGTCTCCTGTCTTGAAAAATGTTGCTGACCTCTCTATAATATATTCTGATTGTGCCACTTCTCTTCTGTATCCTTAAAACAAATAAATTCTGTTATTTGCTTGACTGCTGTTATTGCCTGGTATTTAATATTTGCAACTGGCTGGTACCAAGCAAGTGAAAGAGAACTTTTTTTTATTTATTGACTAATTTGCAAAGGCTTCCTAACCCCTATCCCACCCAGCCTTTCCATGTGCCATTACTTCCTCTATGTATACTTCCATTTCTCCAATGATGTAAGTGATTCTACAGTTTTAAGACAGCCATATGGAATCACAGAATTAGTATTTCAGAGTTGGAAGGTAAATTAAAAGTCATCTAGTTTAGTGGGAGGATCTCTCTTTAATATTTTTTACATCTCCTCTCTCAAAAAGGGATGTTCCTCCTCCAATGAGAGATAATGTCTTAGTATAATCATCTTATCCCATGATTCCAACTGACAGAGCAACAAGATTGGTATCACATGCTTTATTCAGCTAGTTACAGTGTCATTTTGATATAATTAAATAGAGGGAGAGAGAAAGGTCTTCTTTATGGTAGAAAACTAATTACCTAATGTGGTAAGGATAATTAATTTGGAAAGTTATTATTTGGTAATTATAATAGTAATCAATTCAGAGAAGAATTGTCTATGGATGCTAAAACTAGCAGATAAAATTTGAGAAGTAATAGGATACGTACATAATTGCAAAGTTTCCATCCCTCCAGAAATCACTATTAATTAGGAGGGTAAAATAATAGCATTACGGTTGAGTAGTCTGACAGACACTACCTTAACCAAATGGTCAAAATTAACCTCACTAGTAATGGGACAGATTCACAGCAAGCACCTCCTGATATAATATCCTAGGAATAACAAAGCATTATTTTGGAGTTGGTTCTGTCAAAAACACATTACCTGAATCTAACTGGGAGAAAACATTAAAGAAACTCTGATGCATGTTCTACAAAATACTTGTCTTAAAATATTCAAAAACTATAGTGTCCTGGAATACAAAGGACTCAGGAACTATTCCAGATTTTAAAAATATAAAGATAAATAACATTAGGCAATATATAATCCTGAACATATTGTGCTATAAAGAACGTTATTAGAATTATTGGGAAAATCTAAAAAATACATATAGATTAGTTGATAGTTGTGTATCAATATTCATTTCTTGGTTTTGATAACTATGTTATAATTATATAAGGAGACATCTTTTGTTTTAGGAAACACGTTCAGTAAGATATGAGGGAAAGAACCACATATTTGCAACTCATTCAGAATAAGATGTACACACACACACACACACACACACACACACACAAATATTGGGGGGAGGGGGAGAGAGAGAATGACAGAGAGAAGAGATAAAACAAAACAATATGCTGATAACATTGGGAATTCATTAACATGGACTTTGTATTAGGTTTTCAACTTTTCTGTAAGTCTGAAATTGTTTAAATCTTTAAAAGTCAGTTTGATGAAACTTCTAGGAATGCTTTATCAGAACAGGAAAACTAGAAATTATTTATTTAGTATTAAATTTTTTATTTTTAAAGTTCTTTAATGTTTTATATTAGAAGAAATAAATATTCTGATTCAATAAAGATACACTTGTACAACAAAATATTTGTTTTATTTAGTATGCTTATAGCTTTTATGACTTGTGCAAAGATTCTTTAAACTTCCATTGCATCATGGTTACCCATAAATTTCTCACTTGGCATTATAAGTTTTTGAAGCAAAATGAGAACTGGACTGCAAATCAGAAGACGTGGATTCTACCTGTGGTTCTGCCATTAACTAAAGAAATTTCTGAATGCAGATGCTTAGTCTGTAAACCTGACCTTTGGATAAAAAGTGAGGCAACTGGGAGAGAAGAGAAAGACAGGACTAGCTGGAATGACATTTTAATACACATTAGAGGAAACTGTCAAGGGAAAATTCAAAGAGATTGTCTAAATCATTGCAACTTTACAAGTGATTATTATTTTTTTAGTATTGCCATCTGTTTTTTTTTTTTTTGTAGTGACAAGTGGCAAAATGCTTAAAACAGAAGCGTGTATGTGTGTGTGCACATGTGCATGTTAAAAGACGGAAGAGTGGAGGTTGTGAAGCATATGGCTGTTTCAGCGTTTGCCTGCCAAAAAGACAAGGCCAGTAAAGAAAACATGGATAATGAAGAAAGGAGTGACTGTTATGTGTCTTGGTTAACAGAACATTTAAAATTACAACAACCTTGCTGTAATGGAATAGTTACTACATGTTTTGATGTTTATATTAGAAAGATAAAGGGAAATAAAGCTATTATTTACATTTTCTCTTTTAACATTTGACATGTTTAATATTCCAGTCCAGTGATTACTTATCTGGAAGGAACTTCAGCGTTACAAAGATTTCTTGAAATTGAATTAGTGTCTATTTTATTTCTAGCTAGAGTGACTGCCTGATTGCCTGTAAGGTACACTTATGGTTATCTCACAATAGAGATTCTCATATAACACATCACAAATCACTGGTCACCAATGTGCTTGCACTGAAGCTCATTAAGTATCTTTTAATAGCTCACTGCACACTCAATGTAATAGCTTATAGTTTGCACTTGGAGAACTAATGTTCAATCACCTGCGTTGATAGGAATTGAAGGTAAGAGAAGGAAGGTAATAATCATTCCATTATGGAATATTATTTTGGCTCTAAATACTTTTCTTTCTTTCCTTCTTTCTTTTTCTTTCCCTTCCTTCCTTCCTTTTCTTTCTTTCCTTCTTTTTCTTTCTTTCCTTCCCTTCCCTCCTTCCCTTCCTTCCCTCCCTCCCTCTCTCCCTCCATCCCTTCTTTCTTTCCCTTTCTCTCTTTCTCTTTCTTTCTCTCTCTCTCTTTCTTTCTTTTTCTTTTTCTCTCATTCCTTCCCTCCCTCCTTCCTTCCTTCTTTTCTTTTTTCTTTTTCTCTGTTTCCTTCCTTCCTCCCTTCTTTCTTTCTCTTTCCCTCCTTCTTTCCTTTTCTTCTTTCTTTCTTTCCTTCTTTCTTTTTGTCTAGCCTCTGCTTCTTTACAAAAAGGACTTCATGCAGCTTACAAGAAAGGTCAGACAAGTTGGAGTAAAACAGAAGCAGAAACAGAAAACAAGATCAGGAAAAGAGAAACAAGAATACATTCATTATAAAATGTAACATTATTTTCATAAGCAAATTTTATCTATTTTTCCTCAGCATTATGGAACATAGAGATTAGAAGAAGCAAAATAAATTACATAGATCGTATTATGAAAAAGAAAGAAATATACACTTTCTCAGGTGGACAAATTTGTTATTGTTACCTGAATTTAAATGAAAATTTTAACATGGGTTTTCTATGACAGACACAGAGAAATGCCTACATTCCTTTTTAAATTTTAATTTAATTTTTTGAGAAAATAAAGAACTCATAGCCTTCCAGGGATCTAATAACACAAGAAAAATATCTAGATTCCAAAGGAATCTGTATGCTAGAAAACATCTTGAAATCACACAAGATTGAATACTAGGTTGATTACCTTAAACAGTACTTAAGTTACTTTGAGTTTTAATATTGATTGGAAGAAAATTAAAGATTATAATCTTCAATAAAGTAGGATTTTCTGATTTTTTTCTTTCATTCTCCCCTTCCTTTAAATATATAAAAATACACTTTTGACTGGAACTATGAGAAAGCAAATGTGTTCTCTTAACTCTTTCCAAGATTTGAAGAACTAGGAAATGTTTGGGGTGGAGGTGTGTGTCAGTGGTGCTAACAGAGAATCCTTACCTCATAAGAATTGAGCCCATGCAGGTTGCAGTGAGCTATAGTTGCACCACTGCAATCCAGTACAGAGCAAGACCCAGGAAAGAAAGGAAAGAAGAAAGAGGAAGAAAAAGGAGGAAGGAAGGAAGGAAGGAAGGAAGGAAGGAAGGGGAGAGAAATTGGTGCAATGTCTGCTAAATTATTCTATTAATTATATTTAATTATAGGCCAGGCTTAGTTCCTCATGCCTATAATCCCAACACTTTGGGAGGCTGAGGAGGGCAGATCACTTGAGGCCAGGAGTTTGAAACCAGCTTCACCAACATGTGAAACCTGGGTCTGCTAAAAATACAAAAATTAGCTGAGCATGGTCCCAGCTACTTGGGAGGCTGAGGCAGGAGAATTGCTTGAACTCTGGAGGTGGAGGTTTCAGTGAGTGGAGACTGCACTCCTGTACTCCAGTGTGGAGTGCAGCAATTACACATTATTTCTTATTCCTATTTTAAACCCTCCAAAAGTCAAAAAATTATTTACTTCTAATGTATAGAGAAATATACCAATAGACATATAATTTAAAACAGCAAGGTTAAGTAGTAGATTTATTCAGAGTACATTTCATTTCAACATGCCCTGAAAGCAGCAGATGAGAAATTTTCTTAGGAAATGGAGAATCAAACTTTAAAATGTAATCAAAATCTTAAATCCAACAATACTTTAAATTTTCTCATTTATTTCCCAGAGCAAAGCTTCTCTTGATAAATACTTTCCTCAGGGCTGATTTTACATCCTTATTCCTGAGGCTATAGATTAGTGGGTTCAATGTTGGGGTTACCAGATTATTCAATATCTGAATTATGGCACTAAGCAGGACACTGGGATTGGGTTGCAGATAGATAATGATGACTGGCCCATAAGTACAAAGGATTGCAGTGAGGTGAGCACTGCAGGTGGAGAAGGCTCGTTGCCTGCCCTCTGCTGAGCGGATTTTTGATATGGAGATCCCAATGCAAGTATAGGAAACCAGGATGAGAAAAAAGCAAATGAGAGACAAAAGACCAACATTTGTAAAACCTACCCTCTGGGCTAAGGATGTGTCCTTACAGGCTAGAGGTAACACTACAATTATATCACAGAAGTAATAGCCCATCTTGTTAGAGCCACAATAAGGTAACTGAAAGGTGAGGGAGGTTAGGATCATGGCGTGGACACAGCCACTCATCCAGGTCCCTGTGGCCAAGATAAAGCACACCCTGTAGTTCATGATGACCGTATATCTTAAAGGAAAACATATGGCAACAAAGCGATCACAGGCCATCACCGTGTAGAGGAAACACTCGGTACAGCCTAGGAAATGGTAGAAGAAAAGCTGGGACATGCAGCCTCCATACGAGATAGCGTGGCTGTTCCCTGAAAGGTAGAACAGCATCTTGGGAAAGTTGTCGAAGAGAAACCCAGGTCAAAGATGGAGAGGTTTCCCAAGAAAAAATACATAGGAGTGTGAAGCCGAGTGGAGGACATGATAGCTGTAAGGATGAGCACATTTCCCAAGAGGGTACATGAATACAATGAGGAGAACAGGGATAAAAGGACTGTCTCTAGGCCCTCTGTCTCAGGGATTCTCAGAAGGATGAATTCAGTCACCATTGTGTGACTTCTCATTCTTAGGGAAAAATCAACTCTTGGGTGTCTGTGAAAAGAAATATGTGGTTAAATTTAATATGCATGTAAATTAGCTGTGTTTAGATCAACGAAATGGAAAAGCAGCAAGAGATCTAGATAAAGAGGAAGGCTTCCTGGTAGAATTGTCTTGATCTGCCTGCTTTGCTCTGTACTCATTCTGCAGTGGTTCCTCTTCTTGTTTGCATTTTTTTATTTTTATAGATTTAAAAGGTACAAGCACATTTTTGTTACATGGATATATTGCCAAGTACTAAAATCTGGGCTTATAGCATACCCGTCACCCAAATGATGTACCATGTACCCAATAGGTAATTTTTCTTCCCTCACCACCTTCTCCCACCCGAATCGCCTTTTAGAGTCTCCAGCGTCTACTATTCCACTCCATGTATCCACATGTGCCCATTGTTTAGCTCCCACATATAAGTGAGAACGCTGCCGTTTCTAATTGCAGATGCCTCACATTTAATAATTTCACCAAGAAGCCTTCCATGACTAGTCTCATAGCTGCCATCCTTCATATTTACCACTGCATAGCATAAATCATACATGTTCTAAAGGGACAAAAGTAAATATTTAATGTCTTTATAACAAACAAGGTCTCATCCAGATTTCTTATATTCATCTATGACAATTTGGTTACAGTAACTCTCCAAAAGTCATTCATAATTCTGCAAGACATGTACAAAATATAAAGTATTTTTCCCTCATTGTCTTCCTGGCCATGAGGGTCAACAGTGAGAAATTGTTCAAAAGAAAGATTCTTAGATAGCTCTTAATGAGCAGAAAATTACAATAACAAGTCCCTTATCCTCTGCAGTCACCTGAATTCAGTGCACATGTGTATCTGGTAGACTTCATTTCTGTCTCCAAAGTGTCTGTAATTGTCTAACCAGACCCAAGTAAGCCACATCCTAATTTTGTGGCAGCAGATGGTACCGGGGTAGCAGTAGTAAAGACAGGAGTCCAAGTGTCATGCTTTAAAAAAATCTAATATATTTTTCTACTTTAAAAAATTTTTTAACAGTGAGATCTATAAATTATGGATCAACCCATGTATTCTATTACCTAAAATCTCTCTCTCTCTCTCTCTCTCTCTTTCCTGGAGATTGTGAAGGGAGGAAGAGAGTGAAAGCCAAGATAAAAAGTGAAGGGCAAAATGTGTGCACTTACATGGCAAACAGGAAACATAATTGGCTGATGCTTGTGAGTGTTGTCTTCCTTTTCTCCCCAGCAGAAGGAAGCAGTTTGTGACTAAATCCCCATCAGCCTAGAGTCTACAAGTAGGGAACTTAAGTTTTTTTTTTTTTTCCAATCACTTTCAAATAGAATGCCACAAATCTAAATATGCTTCAGCTGCCTTACAGTAATTTCCTGTCTAACTTTAGGAACTGCAGTCATTCCTTAATACAGGACATTTTAAATAACCCTGGCCTTCCCTGGGGTATTAATCCCTCAACTCAAGGAACTTGTTAGCAAGGGAACAATTAACTACTTGGTATAATTAGGCCTTAGAAATGAATGACAGAAGAGAAGAGAGAGAATGAGAGAGTCGATTATTACCATTTCCTTTGTAAAATATGCTTCCATGGAAGAATATTTTTAAACTTTCCTTTGACACATGTGTCACACATATTTATTGTGTATTTTATATTCATGCTTTTCATGTGTATGTACTATTTTTTATAAATAAATTATACCTTATTTTCCTACATAGTATTGACAGAATTGACTATTGCAAGCAACAGTAACTGGGGTAGCTCAGATAAACTAATGGAAAACTAGGCCAAGGAAGGGTGAGAAGTAGGGCAGCTGGAGGGACCTTAGCAGTTAGAATTTATGGAGCAGCCTCAGAGCACTGCCATCAGCTGGTTCCAACTCAGCTGCCTTTACTTCTGTGTACCTCAGCCCAGGGTTTGAATCTGACTTCCTTGGCTGAGTCACATGCTTATCTCTGTGAGCGGGGTACAGCCTACAGGGGGATGGAGATGGGCAGTTCTCCAATGGGGAGTAGAAGGGGCTATTGCCAGAAGAAAGAGGGAAGAAATTGCTCAGAGTTCAAGAGTGTTAAGGTATCACTTGAAGTATCTGTCTTATACTACCTGGCGTCTGTTAAAGTTTCCAAATTAAATGGCTTCAATACTCAATACATATTAGGGGTTGCGATGGAATACAAACTTCCTCATTGAATACATTCTTTTATTTGTTTATTTATATATACATGGATTTCATTTATCTTAACAAATATCGAGTGCCAATCATCTGTCAGCATTAATTATTTGCCAGGAGAGAGAGAAAGGTTGGGGGTAGGAGAAGTGGGTTAGACATTGTCTCTCTGCTCAGAAAAAATATATAATCTATCTGGAAGAAAAATAATATTTTACAGTTTTATTTAAACCTCAAAACTCTGGTGAAGTCCTCTACAGATGAGGAAAGTAAAAGTCAAAGACGTTAAATCACTTTCTTAACTTGAAGGGAGTTAAGATTTGGTTTCTTCTTTAGGACTTTTAGCCATAAAGTTTCAGTGTTTAAGGGATGTTTAGGTAGTTACACTATTTCAAATACATCTGGAATTTTTATATGAAATGAAAACTATTTTGCTGCACATCTAGCAAATGATAAAAGTATAAAATTCACTAATTCTGTCATTCTGTTTATCCTTGATTATCTTTAATGTTTTGGAACATGAATAACTTGAAAAATATTTTGTACAAAAAAAAAAAGAGGACAAATAAAAGTTTTTTTTTTTTTTTTTTTTTTTTTGGGGGAGTCTCTCTCTGACACCAGGCTGGAGCGTTGTGGCTCCACCTCAGCTCACTGCAACCTCCGCCTCCCGGGTTCAAGTGATTCTACTGTCTCAGCCTCTGGAGTAGCTGGGACTACAGGCGCATGTGCCACCACGCCCAGCAATTTTTTCGTATTTTTAGTAGAGACTGGTTTTCACCATGTTGGCTAAGGTGATCTCCACCTCTTGTCGTGATTCACCTGCCTCGGTCTCCCAAAGTGCTAGGATTACAGAAGTCACAGTGCCCAGCCATAAACTTTTAACCTCTCATGAAATTTACCTGGTCTGGTAAAAAACATACTCCGGGAAGTTAAATGCCATGGACTGTTTAGATGTCCAAGTAGAATGTTTTAGAATCAAAGTGGGGCATGTGCCAAATTAATGGAATGGTCACAGTAAAAACACTCATGTTCTATGTTCCCAAAGGTCAAATATTCTCAGTGACAATACCTGTTACAGAAGAAACAGTGATCAGATCACGGTAGGAAAGGCTTCAATATAGTAACTAAAAAGTTTTCTGGCCGGGAGCGGTGACTCCAAGGATGGTGGATCACCTGAGGTCAGAAGTTCAAGATCAGCCTGGCCAACATGGTGAAGCCCCATCTTTACTAAAAATACAAAAATTAGTTGGGCATAATGACACACGCATGTAATCCCAGCTACACCGGAAACTAAGGCAGGAGAATCGCTTGCACCTGGGAGGCAGAGGCTGCAGTGAGCAGGGATCGTGCCATTGCACTCCAACCTGGGTGACAAGAGCAAAACTCTGTCTCAAAAAGAAAAAAATCTTTCTTATTATTGCTTACAATTATTTTCCTTCAGAAAATGTACAGATGCTCTAGAATTATCATAAGCAACAGAAGTATAGTTGCAAGTTGTATTTTGTCTGCATTTTAAAGCAAAGATTCAATGTTTGATCAATTTTTTGTGTGTTAAATGTAGATTCCATATGTGCCTTGAGCATGTTAAATATTTATATTTAATAAAATATAACTTTTTAAAATTGACAAATACAAATGGTTTATACTTACGATTTACAATATGATGGTTTGAAAGTCGTATACGTTGTTGAATGGCTAAATCAAGCTAATTAACATGTATTACCTCACATACTTTTTTTGTGGTAAGAACACTTAAAATCTACTCTCTTCCCAATTTTTAAGTATATAATAGATTATTAATAATAATAACCATGATGTTCATTAGATATCTTGAATTTATTCTTTTGGTTTAATTGAAATTTTGTATCTTTCACCAACATCCACCCCATCCCACCTGGCAACTATTATATCATCCTACTTTTCTGCTTCTATGAATTGCACTTTTTCAGTTTCCACATACAAGTGAGATCATGCGGTATTTGTCTCTCTGTACCTGGCTTATTTCACTTCGCATAATATCCTTCAGTTTCATCTACACTGTCACAAATGACAAGATTTCCTTCTTCTTAAAGGCTGAATTGGCCAGGCGCAGTGGCTCACGCCTGTAGTCTCAGCACTTTGGGAGGCTGAGGCAGGTGGATCACGAGGTCAGGAGAGCGAGACCAGCCTGGCCAACATGGTGAAGCCCAGTCTCTACTAAAAATACAAAAATTAGCCGGGCATGGTGGTGCGCGCCTGTAGTCCCAGCTACTCAGGAGACTGAGGCAGGAGAATCACTTGAACCCAGGGGGGCAGAGGTTGCAGTGAGCCAAGATCGCACTACTGCGCTCCAGCCTGGCCGACAGAGTGAGACTCTGTCTCAAAAAAAAAACAAAAAAACAAACAAACAAAAAAAAGGGCTGAATTGTATTCCATCATGCAGATATACCACATCTTCTGTATTTATTCATTCACTGATGGGCACTTAGGATGTTTCCAAGTCTTGGCTATTGTGAATAGTGCTGTAATGAACATGAACAAGCAGGTATCTCTTCAATATACTGATTGCAAAAAAATAAAATTTAAATTTTTGTTTCATTGAATTTTCCACAGCAAAATCATGTACTCAGGATTTCAATTTTCTTCAACAGATGAAGGTTACATTAGGAAAGTTGTCATGTAAAAAAATTCACCCTAGGCTGAGCGTGGTGGTTCACGCCTGTAATCCCAGCACTTTGGGAGGCCCAGGCGGGCGGATCATGAGGTCAAGAGATTGAGACCATCCTGGCCAACATGGTGAAACCCCGTCTCTACTAAAAATACAAAAATTAGCTGGGCGTGGTGGCGTGCACCTGTAGTCCCAGCTACTCGGGAGGCTGAGGCAGGAGAATTAACCGGGGGGCGGAGGTTGCAGTGAGCTGAGATCACGACACTGCGCTCCAGCCTGGCGCCTGGCGATGGTGCAAGACTCTGTTTCAAAAAAAAAAAAAAAATCATTCTTTAGGAAATTTAATT